ATGAGCTTCCCGAAGTATATGATAACTTTCAGCTGCACTTTTCTTCAACATAAAGTAATGAATTAAAACTTCCCGCAAATGCTCTTTTTTTGGCACAAAATTCCACATTTTTAAGCATAAAAATATTTATGATGTTAACACCTTCAGAAAATTTGACATAAAGTTTTGAAGCTTGCTGTCAATACAACAAAATAGCATATATATCAACATATGTGTAACTCCATCTATTGAAAAAAATTTGCATTATTAACCAGTAACTTCTAGTAATCTTCCTTTTAACCCTACTTCCTTCATAGCTACTCTCACTTCATTCCAGCCAGACTAGACTACACAATTAAAGGCACTTTCCTTGCCTCTCTGCCTTCTTAATGCCCTTCTCCTTGCATCTAACTCAACCAGTCTTGCAAGAGCCCACTTTTATGCCACTTTCTCCTTGAAATCTTTCCTGATCTAAGCTCTCCTTCCCTTTCACCCTCTTTGCCAGGAATGATTGTACTCTGTACTGAATTCCTATACATTTTTTTGTGTGCCTTAATGGGTTTCTTCTCTTATTGAGTATAAGACATAAATTTCCTGATGATACAATAGGTATCTGGAAATACTATTACCTCTGTTTCTTCATTTTACATTGACAAATAATCTATATATTTGTATTAATATTCTCACTTTTCAGAAGAGGAAACAGGTTTCAAGAAATTAAGTAGTTTATGATCACACAGAACTGTAGGAATAACTGAACTGAGTCTAAAATTCAAGTCTTCACATGTGAAGTTTAGAGTTCCTTTTCTTGACCAAAGGTGATTTTCCAAAGGCTAGTTTGGTTCCATTTGCTTTATTTTTTTGTGTGTGTTTTTTTTATTAAATCTTTATTGTTCAGATTATTACATTTGTTCCTCTTTTTCCCCTCCCATAACTCTCCTCCACCCAGTTCCCACCCACTGTCCTCATTCATAGGTTGGCGATTTTTGTCCAGTCTCTTCCCGCATCCCCCACACCCCTTTCCCCCCCAAGAATAGTCAGTCCATTCCCTTTCTATGCCCCTGATTCTATTATAATCACCAGTT